TGACGTCATAGCTCTCAGGTCAGGGACTCTTCTCTTGGACTTAGTGTGCGACCGGACAGGGTGGAGATTTAGAGTTATCTTTCTTTCCTCATTGGCCGGAAATGGAGTTTACCTAGCCGGAAAGTTAATCTGAACAAACACCCCGGGGCTGGAAACGACAAACTCGAAACAGCGTTAGGTGGACTGGGGCCGCTCTGACATGGAACTGCGCGACAGTAATGTGTCCCTGTTGAAAGATAGACGGAGAGACAGGGAGGGGAATGGAGGGAGAGAGGAGTGACAGACAGACAGACAGACAAACAGACAAACAAACAGACAGACAGACAGGAAGGCAGGCAGACAGGCAGACAGACAGAGATGGACAAACAAAGATATAGGGTCCGTGAGACAGACAGATAAACATACACAATGGAAGATAACGAGTTACTGTACATTAGCGAGCTTTCAAAAATGATTTTTCACCGGATACTGAGTGAAAGCTTGTATTTCATTCTAAATGTCTGTCATTTTTTTAAAAAGCTTGACGTACATACGGGTTGGCCTTTGTATCATTTCATGTCAGTAGATTTCCAGTATCCAGCGTCTGTGGTGTAGAGGCAAGGTGTTTCGCCGTCGCACGCAAAAGACCCGAGTTTGATTGACGATCATTTTCATTGAGTACACGTGTACCTAGGCATTTCCGTTGGGATATTGTATCAGCCCGATTGTCCCTGACTGAGTCGAAGCTCGCCTACAAAATGACGTAACTTGTATAGGTGGTGGCGTAAAAATATCTACTTAAAAAAAAAGTTTTCTAACATTTTGTAAAAAAGAACAGAGACGAAGCAATGTTTCATATCACGTTATATAACTTCAGTTATCAAAGGGACGATACCTCCTAAACAACTTTATACCATTTTTAGGTTGATTATTTAACAGGATACAAAATATTCTTTAAAATTGAAGTACTAGACCCGCCTTCTGACTACTATGAGTTATAAGAAATAATCAAGAAGAGGAGACAAATATAGGATACTCCTCAAATTCGAAGCTCGTACTTCCTGTTACAAACTTCGCCTTTGCGGCCGACGGAGCAACTCTCCAGGGACCCAAAGTAAAAGACACTTTTGGTAACGTGGGCAACGCAGAATACACTCATCAGGTTCCACATTTGGCACTAGATCACGGAAAACTCGAGGCCTCCGAGCGAGAGGCAAACAGTGTACTATGGATCATTTCGCAGCCCCTCCAATAAATCTTTCTCGTCAGAAAAGGTCATGTCAACATTAATTGTTCGCGTAGTGGACTCCGCCGCTCCAATAGAGATCGACACTTTACTTCTGCTCATCGTCCACCTCTGGAGCTTTCCAGAGCCAAAAGGTTTCAAGTGTTTGGATTATGTTTTGAGCCGAAGCAAAGGGGAAGCTCGTGTGAGGAGAAGATATCTTATGGCACCGTCAGCTTGTAAAGGGCAATGATGTGTGTAGAAAGGAGCTTTTTGTCTTGATGGTTGGAGACAAATTTGTCTTCCTCGGGGGGAAAAAAAGAGTTTGGCACCGTGAAAAGAAAATGTATCATTTCCACTCATAAACGCACGCAGACACGCAAGCTTATCGTAGACACACGAGGCCATGCACTTTCTCTCTGCCCCGCCCCCTTCTTTTTCACCAGTCTGTCTGTCTGTCTGTCTGTCTGTCTGTCTGTCTGAATGTGTGTCTGTCTGTTTGTCTATCTGTGAGTCTGTCTCTCTCTCTTTCTCTCCCTCTCTCTCACTCTCTTTCATTCTATCTATCTATCTATCTATCTATCTATCTATCTATCTATCTATCTATCTATCTATATGTATATATATATATATATCTGTCTCTCTCTCACTCTTACACACACATATATAATAACACACACACACACACACACACACACACACACACACACACACACACACATACGCGCACGCACAAACACACACACACACACACACACACACACTAACACACACATACAAACACACACACTTTATCCCTCTATTTCTCACGAGCTCTCTCTCTTTCCCTTTTTATCTCTTGCTATCTCGTTATTTATATATGCATGTATACATCCTATATTTGTCCATCCTCCTCTAAGATATCTATCTATCTTCTCTTTATATTAATTTCTCCTTCTCCTTTCAATCGCCTTCTTTCCCTTTCTCTCTCACGTGCACAAACGTTCGCTCACGTGAACAAATAAAGAAATGCTCTTTAAAAAGATATCTTTCTCGCCTGCTCGCTCTCTCACACCCACACTCACACACTCACTCTCTCTCTCTCTCCCTCACTCTCTCTCTCTCTCTCTTTCCCTCTCTCTCTCTCTCTCTCTCTCTCTCTCTCTCTCTCTCTCTCTCTCTCTCTCTCTCTCTATCTATCTATCTATCTATCTATCTATCTATCTATCTATCTATCTATCTCAACACACTCACAAATATATTATATTTGTATATTTGTATATATACATATATAATATGTAATGTGTGTGTGTGTGTCTGTGTGTGTACATTTGTGGGGGGGGGGGGTTCATCCCTCTCTTTTTCTTTCTCTTTCTCCTTTCCTTCTGTCTCTCTCTTTTTCACTAACACCCACAAGCTCACGTGCCCGGGTATACGCGTGGGCTCACTGACACGAATAAAGAAATGTAGAAAAGACAGAGGGGCTCCATATCGTATAGCCGTATGAAACGAGAAGTCTTCATTTCTTTTGTCTTTGCACTTCTAAGGTGTCAAGCCTGCTATTTCGTGGTGAAGACAAGACGGCCACAAATTATACTCAGCCCACACGCGCGTCTGGCTGTCACGCATGCAAATTTTCTGCGACGGTTAGGAACTATTTGGACACTAATTTTAGATCTCGAGACTGCAATACCAGTCGTTGAAATATTCCACTTATAGAAGACTGTGTGTCTGGAGTGGTGTATGTGGTCATGTATGTGTGGAAGGGGGGGGGGGAGAAAGAAAGAAAGAGAGAGAGAGAGAGAGAGAGAGAGAGAGAGAGAGAGAGAGAGTCAGACAGACAGACAGAGATCCTATATATATATATATATATATATATATATATATATAGAGAGAGAGAGAGAGAGAGAGAGAGAGAGAGAGAGAGAGAGAGAGAGAGAGAGAGGGAGGGAGGGAGAGGAAGAGAGAGAGAGATTTTTTTAATGTAGGTGTTTTAACGCCCGTATCGACTCAATTTAGATCATTTAGCTGGCGGGTTTCAACCTTGCCTGCCAGGACCAACCCAGGCTAAGAGGTATACAACGTCCCAGCTGAGAGATACTCGATAGAACTTCGCCCCACACAAAAATCGAACTAAGGTCATTAGCGTTCTACAGGGAAGCGCCTAACCGCTACACCACTGACGTCTTTGGGAGAGAGATAAAAGAGACCGCCAGATATTTATGGGTGTCTGTCTATTCTTTCGTCTTTCTGTCTGAACCAAAA